GGGCCAGGCCCATCAGAGAAAGTGGGCAGACAGAGAAGCCTGCAAGAGGCCTTGCCCCACGGGAGCTTCTGGTCTAACAGGGGAGACAGGGACAGGGTGCGGGGATCCATGTGGATAGGGGGGTATGGGAACACCAGGAGTCAAGAGTGGAACATGTCCCAAAGGACACATTCTGGCTGGCTCTTCAGGGACCCACAGGTGGTTCACACAGGAAGTGCGAACAGCACACACAGAGGCAGGGTAAGAACATCGGGTCAGTGAGGTGAGGTTTGACAAGGCTGGGATACAGGGCACAAGGGAAAGGGGCCCTGGCCTGCCTCCGCAGCCCACCTCCAATCTCCTCCTCCTCCACTGTTGTCTGCAAGCAGCAACACGGCGCAGCCCTGCCCACCCTCACCGGGGCCAACAGCTACGAGAAAAGAACAGGGCTGGGCAAGCCACCAATGGGCAGGAGCGCAGAAAGGTACGGAAGTGGAGCAGACCAGCCGCACAGGGGTGTGCACAGGGCAGTGCCAGGATGCCAGAGTAGGCCCGGAGGCAGAGCTGTGCCAACAACACTGGTTTTTCAAGTAGGAGGAGGAGGGCATGCAGAAGCCTACAGCAGGAGCCACAGGGCTGGAGTCAATGAGTGGTGGGAGGATGGGCAGCTCCTGAGAACACAGCCCTGTCCCGTGTCACCATTCTTAGCGCCACTGGTGAAGGGACATGACTCAGAACAGCCCCAAGGACAACCTGTCTCCTTTTAAAAAGCTCCCTGCAAGGTAAGACTGAGAAATGGCCATGGTGCAAAGTGTTCCAAAATTGATCTATCCCAGGCTCAATCTCTTTAATCAGGCCAGAAATCTCTTTCATCAGTTTTGAGGAAGAAATGAAGGCCTTTGATGTGTCCTTTGATAAGGCAGGAAAGGAAGGTCGGGGGAGCCCGAATGCAGCCCCTTTGACTGACACCAGACCCCCACCACCCTGAACGAGAAGGCCAGCACGTCACCCACCGCCCAGGACCACCTGAGGATGGACGAATTACTAAACCAGGTAGCCTCCAAGCTGTCTGTGCTTGCCTCTCTGTGACAGCAGTTTATGATTAACTTTTATGGCCTGACCTCAAGACAACGCTGGTCACATACGGGGTTTTTGAACATTTAAAAACATCATCATTGCCTATCTCCCCTGCTCGGGAGACGACCCCACCTACCGTCAGTGGAGTAAGATCTGCTGTCTGTCTGTCTTAATAAACCTCTCCTGGCTTGTTCTTGAATTCTTTTCATGGAGCCAAGAACCCACTATCAAGTTCAGGGGGCTTTCCTCCCTTCATTGGGACACCCCTGCATCACTTACTTCTCTCCGAATGCAAGTTCCTGAGCCCTCAGTCCCTGACAAGTTTTCTCTGCCACGGAACGTTCGTGAGTACACCTTGGCACGTGGGAGGGTCTTTCCTGGCAAGTTGTATGTGACACCACCCTACACTAGCCCCAAGACTTCTGCAGGTTTACCTATATCGAGTGTTCTTAGAGGACGCACCTCAATGCTATCTTAAGGATGCACATTGAGACTGCTTGTACTAGTGGATCTCAACTGGGGGTAGCTGTGTCCCCCGGGAGCCATTTGGCAATGACTGGAGATACCTTTGGTTGTCACAGCTGGCGAGGGGAGTACTGCTGGCGTCTAGCAGGTAGAGGCCAGAGATGCTGCTAAGTCACCTCCAATGCACAGGACAGCCCTGCAACGAGGAACTGCCCAGCCCCAGAAGTCAGTGGGGCTGAAGGGGAGAAACCCTGGCTTCCGAGGATGTAGGACGGAGGGCAGAACAGGATGGTCCACCCCAAAGCATCGTGACATCCACAACGCTGGCCCCTCAGCACAGGGGCCCCAGGCTCTGTAGTTACGACCTAAGCAAAAAATGGGCAGATCTAAGTTCCTACTGGCGTCCTAGGATGGCTGAGTCAACTCCCTCTCACGGCTTCTCTGGCTGGCTCCTGTCACTGGGGGTTCTTTCCACCCCAGCCTGCCAACGTCCAACCCTCTACCTCCTTAGAGCCCTGAAGGAGACCTCAGTTTCCCCTTCTCGGGAGACTCTTCATCTGGACAGACAGGCTTCCAGCCCTGTTTATGTCCCAGAGCCCAGTGGCCCTTCTGCAAAGGGGCACCTTGAGCCTGGGCAAGGCGTTCCTCGGGCAGAAGGTGACCTGTCCTGCTCGGCCGCAGGCTGGCTTGGCCCCTGGCTAATCTGCAGGGGTGCTGGCGTGGGAACTGGGCTCAGCTCGGCTGTCCTGGAACAAGCCCAGCTGTGGTCCGAATACAGAAAGGAAGACACACAGCGAACACACACTTCAGTACATAGCGACTGGCCTCCTCCGCAGAGGCAGCCCCTCCTCCCCGCGTCTACACAGCGCTCCCTTCGTGACAGCTGGCCTTGGCCCTGGGGAAGGCACCTCCCCACCCTCCTATCCTCACCACGGGGACAGCGGGGACGCCGGGCGAGTCTGTGCCCCACTGACCGCGCCAGATGACCCTCCCTCGCTGCCGCCCAGCTGACCCCTCTCCACCCCCACCTCGCCCCACCCTGGGCGGAGAAGTGCGGGCAGCCAGGGAGGGCAGGGCCCGGGCCCACCCCGACACTGTCCGCTCCCAGCTCCGCCCAGCTGGGCCTGCCGCCCGGCTCGCGCCCCCGCTCGGCTCACCGCCGCCCTCGCCCCAGCGCCGACCCCAGACCCGCCTTCCGGTCCGGTGGCGTCCAGCAGCCCCGGGGTTTCCCTCAGGAGCTCCCTGCCCCGTCGCCAGGCAACACCGCTGACGGGCGGGTGTTTGCTCCAATCGCGGAAGCGGAAGCCAAGGGGCGGAGTCCGAGGCAAAGAATTAGCCAATGGTGATGCACTTCCCAGGGAGTGGGCGGGTCCAGGCCAGGGCAAGGGGCGGGTCCGGGGCGGGGCAGGCGGCAGTGGTCTGGGGACGGATTCCTGGGCGGCCAGCCAGGGGCTGGGGAGGGAGAGGCGGGTGATGCGGCAGAGGCCGGTCTGGGCCAGCGAGGGGGCTGGGGTTGGAGCAGGGGTGCGGGAGGAGCTCGGAGAGGGGGGAACCCTGGGGTTGGGTCCACCCGGGGGAAGGAGGGTGACCCCAGGGACCCCCGGGGGCTCCACGGCTGAGGCCCCACCTACAGGTCCCAGCCTAGCGCTTCGGACGACTCCTGCCCACGCCTGCTCCTGCGCCCCCCCACCAGCTCCTCCCCAGGGGCGTGGGACATGTCCCAGCCTCTCCAGTCTCGGTAGGTAGACTCGCCCTGACCCCCACGGGCCCTTTTTCCACTAGTGCCCACCCGCCCCCACCCCCACTGGAAACTGTCTCCTCCACCTCTTCATCTTTCAGCTCATTCCTCAAACCTGCCCAAACCTAGTCCCAGGGCCCCTGTCCCTAAACCCAGCGGACACCTTCTGTCCTCACACGCAGTATTTGACACTTGGCATTCCTGCCCCACGGGAGCTCTTTCCTGGGCTCCTAGGGCCCTCGTTCCTGGTTCTGTCTCTCCCCTAGGTAGTTTTCACTCTCTTGGCTTCCATCCTCGTGCTTCTTCCTATTCCCCTCTCTACCCCTGCATCCGCCCTGAAATGATATCCCTGGCATGACATCCTTCTCGTGACTTCAGTTCCCACCGGTCCACTGTGCTGATCCCCAAACCTGCACATCCGGCCGGTTTTCTAGCCTGAACTCCGATGCCACGTGTCTGCTTGTTTATCCGGCATCTCCACGAGGCTGTTTCACCAGCACCTCAAGCTCAGCTTCTTGCCCCAAAACTGCTTCTCCTATTTACTTCCTACCTCCGTGCACAGCACCACCTCCCATGGCCTGGGTCAGAGACCCGGAGTCATTCCGGACGGCGCCACCTCCCTCTCTCCCCAGGTCTGGTTCCTGACCAAATCTGTCTTACCTCCAGTTCATGGCTGCATCTGACCACTTCCCTCCACGTTCTCAGGATCCGTAGTCCAGGCCAGACTGCAGTAAGAGCCTCCTTCCCCGGCTCTTGCAGTCCATCCCCCACACTGGCCCAGTGAATCGCAAAAACCTATCTTGCCGCTTGGACTGAGGAATAGTATCAGCCTGAACTGTAAAAGTCCATCTGGCCGTTCACCAGTCTGGAAGGACAGACTCAGATAAAACCAGCCACACATTAACAAGGAACAATATTCCTCAAGCACACGCCGCAGCAGCTGTCAGGTATCTTTACCAGCCCCTTCTTTTAGCAACAACTACTTCCCTACTCACTGAGAACTTTGCTCACTAAGATCATCGATTAGCAGAAACTTTGCTGTTTGGAATTCTATTCGTAAGAATGAAACAGCCCCCTCCTCCGTGCAGTGTTTGACACCCTTTGACACAGAAGCTGCCTAGGTTTCCAAGCCGGGTGAAGAGCGCCACATAAAGCAGTTTCTAGACACAACGTTCCACGGCTCTCTTAACTGGTGGTTCCCAAGGAAGCTGGAGCTGGGTCCCCTCTGCGGGCCAGACCTGATGCTGGCCCCTTCACTCGCAGCCTTGCTCTGAGCCTACTGCAACAACGCCTCATCCACCCTCATCTGAACTCCACCTTTCCGCAAATCCTATGAAAACTCTCTTGCCAGGTGAGCTGCCCAGGGTCCCCCAGTGCCACAAGCTAACAAACCTGATTTTGTCAGACTGCTGGATCAATCCTGGTGGTTTTAGGCTGATGGGGCTGGGACAACTAGATCCCAACATTTGTCTTTACAGTTTGCAAACACACACTGCACACCTACTACGTGCCAGGCAGGGGTGACCCAGCAGTAAGCAGAGTCCCTGCCCTTGGCATGCATGTCCATCACTTGGTCCCCACTTGCTGGAAGATGATGTTGAGCAAGTTGAGAGGAGAGGGGTGGCCAGGGAGGGTGTGGCTGTGGATAAGGAAAAAACAAGGACAGTGAGGCTTTAAGGGTAAGAGGCTGTCGGCAAGAAAGCAGGTGGGATCTGAAGATAGAGACAGCGATCTCTAGGCTTGACAAGATGCAGAGGCCATCCGCACGCTTTCCTTTCTTACGTGTCAAGGGTCTACTGCCTTTCCAAGCCTGTCCGTAATCGGAATCCAGTGCTACACTCCTAACAGCCCTGGAAAGGAGGCATTACTCCCATCATGTAGAAACCGGGGTTCAGAGAAGTTAAGTGACTTTTCCAGGGACACGCAGCCTGAGTTCAGGGACTCCTGACTCCAAGTTCAGGGCTCTTTCCTCTGTAGCTCACCTGCCACTGTGGAAGTAACCTGGTTTCATGGTTCCACAATCATTTCTCTAGAAATGGGAGGACTGAACCCCAGTTTCCAGAGGCCCCCCTGGGCCAGCCCACAGTGGGCACTGTACCTGCAGGAAGGACCCAAGAGCCTCCAGGGAAGAACTCATTTCAGAATAAGTCTTGGGCTGCGTGTGGTCCGAAGATGCTAACTCACTGCAGAAAGGCGGGTGATCCAAGCACAGGCTGTCCTCCAGGCTAGTGGAGCCCTGGGGACAGGGACTCCAACTACAAACCACCACGCTGCGGGATGATGGCAGCACAGGGCTTCCCAGCTGGGGTAAGACAGCGGTGGGGAACAGGTCCTCATTCCTCTCCCACGCCACCACGGGGTCCCACCCACGCGCCCCACCTGGACCACCCTGGGGCCTCCTACCCAGCCCCTGCTGCCACCCTGGGTCCCTCCCCAACACAGCCACCGGAGCCATCTTTCCCAATGCACAGCAGTGCACACTACCCCCCTTCTGAAACCGCTGCTCACTGCGGTTGGTTCACAGGGGCTCACCAAGTTTCTAATCTCCTCCAGGGATGCTCTGTTCTCCCTCAGCAAACTCCGCCACTGGGCCTTCTGCTGCACTGAGAGCAAGACAAGCCCTCCCTTGTCTCCTGCCAGGAAGGAGCATCCTCTGGGTGTGGCCTGGCCCTCCCAGTGCCTTCCCCAGAAAGGCCTGCCTGTTCCCGCCCCTGTGGCTCTCTGATCTGCTTTCCTGGCACTCGCTGCTCTCTGCCCTCTGTGTCACTGCATTTGTTTTCTGCTTTCCCGCTAGAATCCTGATAAACACGCCTGCCTGGTTTGCTGGGGTAGCCTTAGCGCACAGCCGAGTGCCTGGCACCTGGTAAGTGGCCATAAGTATCGGTTGCAAGAAGGAAAGAACGGGTGACCAGCGACTTCACGCTGACTCCAGCGGACCTGATTACTCAGCAAGGCCGGTACCTGCCAGGCAACGCCCTGCAGCCGGCATGGCCACAATCTGCTGGTGAACTCCAGCCAGCAACGGGGAAGGCTGGCGTTCCAGCTTGACACCTGGATTTGGGGACACAGGATGACAGACCTGTCATCTGCCCACCCAGCTGCACCATCCTCTGGGGAGCTCCTTGGCCCCAAAACCAGCTGTGTGGGGCTAGCTGCCCCACTCCTGCCCACCAGACACCCCCTGGCTGTTAGGTTGGAACAAACCCAGAAGCCCTTCCTGCCTGCGGGTGGCAGGCCTGGCTGATGACACGCACAAGGCCTGGCCCTCGTGGAACAGTCCGAGCACCAAGGCCAACATGCCAGGAGCAGCAGATCCACAAGAGTGACATGTCTCAAAGCCCAGCTACCCCCACCCTCCTGGGCGCCAGTGACACAAGTCAATAACCCCAGCTCTTCCGCTCAGCTCGCTCACATTCAGCTTCTGTCACCTGCAGCCAAGGTTCCTGATGCCTGAGACGCTGAACTTCAGACATAAGGACTGGGTCCCCGTGCGCTGGCTCGCACGTCCCCACACGCTTCTTGTATATATGTGTTGCGTGTATGTGTTCAGGAATGTCCAAGGCAGGTGCATTTTAGACAAAGAGGCAGTTTCCTGAAGGCCGAGGCATATGGGGGTTGGGTGGCCATAGTGGCCCCTCAGCTGCAGCCTCAGGGTCTGGAGAGCGACATAGGAGTGAATGTGGAGATGCCACCTGCCAGCTAGTGGAATGGCGCCACTGTGTGGCCATAACAGGAATAGCTTACAATCCCTTCTGCTCACCTGCTTGGAACATTCTTAACGGGGAAAATTTGTATTACCTGCAATTTTTCGTATGAACTGAGACTTTTTAAAAAATATATATCCATCACGTTTTGAGACAGGGTCTCCCTCTGTCACCCAGATTAGAGTGAGTGGTGTGATCATAGTTCAATGCAACCTCAAACTCTTGGGCTCAAGTGACCCCGGCCTCGCCCTCGGCAGCGCTAGGACTACAGGCACGCTCCACTGCGCCTGGCAAATGCCGTGCTAGTCCCACCAGTTACTCCCCCCAGGAAGCCCGTGTACATTCCAGATACCCCCAGGTGCCACGTCCTGTCTTTTATGCCGACTTTGGGCATTGAGACCTCCTTTGTTCCCTGGGGTCTGTACCCCACTGGTCCTGCCATTTTCGGGGGTCCCTCTGCTAACAACACCCCTACCAGGTTTTCTAAATCCAACTTGGACACCTCCACGGAAGGGCTGAGCCACCTGCCAGGCACCAGCTACAGCTGGTGTCCACTGTCTTCCCCACATGCTCCATGCCTCTGCCCACCTCTGGAACCATCCAGGGAACCCCAAAGTGTCACATGTAAGGCAGCTAAGGGGCTGGGCCAGCACAGCAGGGTCTGTTCCTGGGACCTGAGTGCCCTGCCACCCGGCAGCAGGTCAGAAGTGGGGGATCTGGGACAGGTGGGCACAGCGGCCTGTTCTCATCACAGAAGGGGAC